ACCGGGATCCTGAGCAAGGGTTGTCATCTAAGACCTCAGACTGCAGAGAGTGACGAGGTGGGGCTTAGGAAAAGAGAACCAGGATATAAGCGCCACCACCATCTGCGGGAACCGTCTGGTAGACATGCTGTAGTGCAGTACAGGGCACGGAGTATCCAGGGTTGATACTCCGTGAATAAGTTGCAGTACGCGCCGTGACTTGATTGTAATATTGCTGAGGGTAAATCAAGCAGAGCGTTTAGCGTCGCAGAAGCACATGCATCAGCCTGAGGCACAAAGCCATCCCATATGCGATCCACATGTGCCCAGGAAAAGCATGGTGATGGTCGCATTCCATCCCGGCAGGGCATGTCTAGACAATTTCCCATGGACGGAATTGCCTATGATTGCATGGATTTGATTCACGAAAGTCAAAAATAATAATGAATTATTAATAATGTAGTGGGATACCGGAGGACAGAAGCCGAGTGGCTGGGCCAATGGCCCAATACGACTCCAACGTCCAATACTCCAAATGCCCAGACTCAGACGGCTTCTCTTAGCGGCGATCATTCCACCATGGTCGCCATGTGTCTGTACGTTGCTGGAAAGTCAAAACATGTGCCACTGCCACTCCTACAACCTAGAGTCCTACCACGTCAGCCAAAGAATGAAGCGGAAAATGGAGAGAATAGTACGGAAGTACGGTAGTACAGAATTGAGAAAGAAACTGCCAAGATCTCATATTTCGATGATGTCCACACTGCTCAAGCCACCCGCAAGCAGCCGCACCGCGACACTCGCCTGGCAGCTGGCCCCTGCCCCCGGTCGCTGGTGCGTCCCTCGGCGCTTTATGCCACTGTCACCATCACCACCACTCACTCGTCAGTAGGACTCAACACTCAGAACTCAGCCTTGGTCCACAACGATTCTAATACGCTTTTCCTGTATGGAAAAAAGGGAAGAAAAATAAAATTAAATTAAAAAAAAAGAAAAGGAAAAAGAATTCAGGGATCAATCACATTTGCCCCCAGCAGTAATTCCATAGCGTTGAAAAATGCACGGAGTACTTGACAAAGTTTCTGATCTGCAAGGAGAAGGACGGACCATTCTTCTTCTCCGGGCAAATACCACCGCCCACCACACTTGCCACGGTTTTGATCGTGCCCCCACTAGACCGCTTAGGGCAATTCGCAAAGCGTGGGACCCCTGAGGGCGATCGTTCACTGTAGCCACGTGAAAGCGCTACGGAGCGCTAGTCTCTAGCTGAAGGTAAGCAGTAGACAGATGGTCAATGGCCAGTGACCTGTTCACAGGCCAGCATCAAGATACCCATCTCGCCTCAATACATATCTTTCATAGGCAACAAAAAATACATAGGTTCGTATTGTAAATGTGGAGGGTCAAAGAGACTTGAGAGTTCATGTGTCATAGACTCGCGCAGACTGACCAGGTCCTTGATATTATGCTGCACAAACGGTTAAATGTACGCCGATGCAATTTATTCCGGATTATGTAAAAGTCGAGACTCTCGTAATACGGATATAGGTGATCCTCAACTTGAATTCCAGTGATGCATCGACTCAACTCCATGATGTAATTGCCGCAGTTGCAAAGCACATACGATCCTACCAAAGGTGCAGTCTTATAGTTCGATAGTCTAGAACACTCTTCGAAGAGACTCGATAGACTTAAAATAATAAAATCACTTAACAACCTACTGTCAACACCCTTATATGGGCCGAGTGTTGAAATTCTTCAAGGCCATGGGACTTCACCTTCCACTGGGTGTGCACGTTCTATCCTACTGTACTAGGTTGCATCGACTCAGTCAGTCAGTCATTGATGGGCCCCACTTCCCGGACTAGCTAAGCTGAGTTGGGACCCTGCTGACCTTGGCGGAAAAAGACTCTCTTTAAGACCGACTAAACTTTTCCCGTTCTATGGATCTCGGACTCTAGATCCGTCATGGTCTCCGGAGCAGTTGATGTGTGGTGTGTGGTGGGGCAGCCCGCCGATGTCAGTTGCTTAGGTTGAATTTTGGAGTTTCACCAGTTCATACTTGAACTGAAGACGGTTGATGTTTCGATTTTCACTGCTCTCAGGAAAATGGGCTAAAACTATTGACCTGGAGAGACTTTAAATAGAGCTTCAAACCCGCTGTTCATCGTCTCCGCGGAGCCCCTCAGAGATGGAGGTGGGGCAAGTCAATCAGCACCCAAGCCGACTCCCTTCATGGATGCGGGACCGCAAGGTGGGTGCGGTAAGATCGGCGTGAGAATTCCCTAAGACAGCTTCCACAATTGCCTAAGTCAGGCAAGCTCTAGTCGACGTTTTGCGAACAATTTATGTGGACTTATTCTGCACAGCGATTATGAGACCAGAAACGAGGCTTTGCTATCTATCTAGAGGTAATTACGGGTAACTAAGTAGATAGAACATGATGAAAATCCATTAATCTTCTTGATCTGTCTATGCATTGCTTAATCACCTAGGGTAAGCACCTAGGATCTAGATGGGAGCTACGGCGGGAATTGTCCCTGACATTTGATCACGCACCTCAGTCAAACGCCAGTATGTGGTCATGGCACTTCCAGCCATGTCCAACGACAATTCCTCAAAGACAGCAGAAACCCAAAAGGCCTCGATTGCGATTGCCAACTCCATCAGAGGCGGTTACCTCGTGGTGGTGGGTTCCTCCTTGCTCGCAGGATTAGTGCACATCTATTGCTTGGCTGGCCCCACGAAACTTTCTGATTGCGGGACTCTATCTTCATCAGATATTATCTGATATTTCTTATGCCAGCTAGCTACTCAGAATACTCATGGTTGATCACCAGTCATCTTGGCAGATAGTCGTTCCAGTACGCAATCTTATGCATTTGCTCGCCAGTGATAGGGCCCAATGGACCCTTTTAAATACACGCAATAATGCCAAGACACAGGCTTGCTGTTCTATTTTTTGAGCCAAACATTTGCCATGTATTCTAGGAGCGATCTTGGAACTTGGATCATAGATGCATAGACATAGGCACCAATCTGAGAGAAAAAGGAAAAGAAAGAAGATAGATAGATTCATGTGCATCAATAGAATGTAGCGACTCGGTGGGATGTGACTTGTGCGTGGGAAGGGGGCTTGCATTCCAAAGGAATGAATGATGCTATCTGATGGATTAAATCATTCGATCTCGCCATTCCTTTTCATTCTCTCCTTGCTTGTGGTGTCTTACTTATGATTATTGTGACTATTATCGCTACCACGTAGTAATAGAGTCCCACTACTGCTGCAGCCGCTGCCACTGCATACTACCCCATACATACTCCTCTTCCTCATTCATCACTAACCATCGCCACGAGGTCTTCACCCTCCTCTTCCACAAATCTGTATTTTAGTACGACTACTACTATCCAAAGAAGTACTTACTACACAGCACCGCTAGCCAATTTTTTTTCTTACCATTTTCTCTCTTCTTCCTCCCTCGTTTCATCATAACTTATATACCTATATATCATTTACTGCAATCCCTTCTGCCATTTCCCCACTTTTTGGCCGTCGCAACTAGAACTCGTGGCTACAGAGCCAAACTTCCCAGCCCTTCCCGTCCCTTCAGAATTTACAATTCTTCTTGTTTCATTTCCTCTTTCCGGTGTTCATTCGAAGTTCGAAACGCTCTAGGCCGGGCACTGATCGATAGTTCCCGCTGTTAGGCTCGCCCCAATCCACTCCCAAGTCCCGACTCCCAAGTCTAAACTATCGAAACACGAGGAGAGAGCCAAGTTTCCCGGGTGTCCCAATTTTACTGCTTGCCATTTTTCTCGGGTCAAGGCTGTCTGTTAAAGTCAGAACGACGACCCTTCCCGTCCTTCGCTACCTTGTCGCCCTCCCCTCTTCCTCGTTCAAAAGTATTTGCTCTTCGCATCCACCCGGCTTGTATCTACACGGGCGGGTCTGATAAAGAGTTCTACAGCCGAACTGGCCCTACTTCGCTCTTACTGCCCAATTGTTCATCGTTATTCGCCTTGCAAAAAGCCTCCCCTGTGCCACGTTTCACCACACCTTCCGACCTTCCGAGCACGCAGTACTTTTCGCAACAGGTAAGCTCTTGTGCGATCGATTGCTTGAAGATCGTGCTGCCCTTCCAACTGTCTTTATTATTGGTTACAACCATTTTTCTCTGGCAAATTCTGTCGATCCAAACTGACGTGACTCTGACTTTATTCAGAGAGGAATATTGTCCGAGGATACGAGTCTAGCGTCGTTTTCTTCTTTCTTTGTTCTCTTCTTCGATGCGCCGGTAGTCTCGACTGTACTACTGAGATCCGGCCATTCTGCCACCGTCCTCCACCTCTCGTCCTTCCCGCGACCACTTACAGCATCGCTCTGACTACAAACGACGGGCCCGCCCTGCACGCAACCACCCGTTCGACAATCTCCTTGTTCTCTCATCTGTTTGACTTGAACTTCGCAGTCTTGCGCACTGCAAAATACTCTTCCCGTTATCTCGATTGCGCTGCGCCCTTTTTGTCGTCCGTGTCGACTGAGCCCTGGGATTGCGCCAACCGCAAAAAAAAGCCCCCAAGTCGCATCGCCGAGCGGGACTGCGGTTTAGGGAGACCCGAACTTCACCAATCGTGACCACTTGAATTGTTACCATAAATTGAAAGCTGATATGCGGATTGCGACCGTCGACGTTCAAAATTAACCTCGCGGAGGACTCTCTTCTACCTCGGCAGCGTGGCTGGCAGACTCCGATAAATCGAACGTGAAACAGCTCCCGTCGCAATCGGATTCTGTCTAATCCTTCTCTGTGCCGATAGTCGCTAGCACATTGACTTCATTGCTCCTTTCCTCGTTCTGCGACTATATTAGTCCTGCCGTCCATCCTTCGAGCGTTTACGTGACCTATCACCCGGATTATGAAATAGTTTAAGCAACGTGACGTATCACACATTATAAGCTATCATCGGATTAACCACGAATTTTCGCCATTATCACCACTCGAAACCTCTCGTCGTCCGCCATGGAAACCACTTTAACCCATCGGCCGTGGGAACCTACCACAACAGGGCCGCAGAATGCTCCGGTCTCTTCTGCGCAAACATTACCCTCGATTTCAACTCTCACCGCAAGTATGAGCAGCAACATACCTCTCCCCGCAGAGAAGTCCCCAGGGAATGCATCCTTGAACACGATAGAACGCGACTCGGGAAACTGGTCAATGCCTCAAAGCACAAGTATGATTACTTGTTCTACATCTGCCATGTCAGGCACTGACAATAGACCAGGATCATCCACCTACTCCACGGCGACGAACGGAACCGGCAATTATCCCTCTCTATCCTTCCTCACTTCCTCTCAACCGTCCCCGAATCGTGGTTCTGTTTCCGAGCGATCTCCCTACCCGAATGACCACTCGAACACGAATACGCCTTCCTCTGCCGGCGCTCATCCGTCTCCCAACTTTGGTTCCCAAACAAATCCAGCCCTTCCCTCCCTCAACCAGAATTTCGATGCTCCTTCTCAACGCGGCAGCATTGCGGAGCCAGCCGAATCGCGACGCAGTAGTGTTGATAGTAGGATGAATCAGGGAATCAGCTCCCTGGCCATCAATCCCGCCTCACCTTACCACAGCACAAATGCCTCCCAGACATCAATTGTATCGGGATTGCAAAGGGAACGTGGGATTTCCATGGACGTGAATATGAACAGTTCATACCGAGGACCACGCTACTCAGGGAGCCAGCCCCTCTCTCCACTCGGACCGCGAGCCGGAGAGCACCGTAGCTTTGCGGCTGGCCGCACTGCTCCCGCGATTTCATCAAATCCTCGCTCGGAAATTTATGCTGCAGAGACGCCTACCGCCGGTCTTGCCTATGCCTTTCCCGACCCAGATGTTGCGCGATCCAATTCGATGTCTTCCACAAACGATAAGTCTCAGCATCCATTCTCAAGGAAGGGAAGCACGGCCGAATCGTTGGCTAGTAGTATCTACTCGGACGCGCGATTGCCTCGTGGCCAACATGGTAGGTTTATACATTTTGTTCTCTGATTCTAGCATGCAAATAACATAGCTAACTGCCCTCTAGAACTCCCTCAGAATGTCCACCACCATACTCTGCAGCACAAACAAGTACGCGATCTCATCGGAGACCCAGAGCCGCCCACCAGCAGTACTCCATACAGCCGCACGCCGGAGCTGCGAGTAACTCACAAGTTAGCCGAGCGTAAACGTCGCAGTGAGATGAAAGACTGCTTCGAGGCATTGCGCATGCGGTTACCTCAGAGCCAAAACAACAAATCCAGCAAATGGGAGACCCTGACTAGAGGTACKGGTTTTGTCATCGCTTCGTCGAATCACCTTTATACTGACTTGCGTCTAGCGATCGAGTACATTGGACAGCTGGAGAAGATGTTGAGTAACGCCCGTCGTGAAAACGACGTCTTGAGGAGCGAGGTTGAAGAGATGCGAGCCCAGCTGAGTCAACAACAAGCACACCAACAGTCGCGGCCGCCGTCAATATTCGAGCACCACCCAATGAACGGACAACAAGCCAACGGACAGTCGCATGGCCCTGGTCCGGCCTTCTCTAATTATGCCCCTAACTCTTCTGCAATGATGCAAGATCAACCACGCACATTGCCTCCATTGATGAATGGCTCCGTTGCTCCGATGCAGGGAGTGCAATATACCGACGACCGTCGGTAGTCTGTCATCCTAGCAAGGCCCTGGATTTGAATTTTGATACCATTCTCCCCACCTTCAACATAGCGGCGATTTTATCTCGTGCCGAGCTTCATACTTTTGATATTTTCTTTTCTCCTGACTCTGGGCCCTAGATCTGAAACGGTATGTTACTCGCCTGTAGATCTCATTCGGGTGGTGTATCTTGTTCTGAGCGAGGCTTTTGTCTGTTGGCCTTTTCTTTATCACTTTTGCCCAGGGCAATTCATACCCCGATTATCGTTCTTATTTTCGTTCTTTGACCTCATGATATAGTTTCTCAAATATTGTGTGAGGATGTGTATGTGCTACAACGACGGACCACTGATTTTTGCACGCTCGGCTTTTCTCTATTCTCGCTTGTTTCTATCGATTTGTCCTTTTTCTTTTTTTTGCATCATGACATGTCTACTTCGTTCTGCATGGGAAATGGGATCCGCCAAGAGCAACTGGTTTTGGGTATGGGATACATTTGATGGCATCTTTCTATCCGTCAAAAGGACTCGGCCAACGGGGTTGACGATGTTTCTGTATGATCTGTCGAAATGGAATAAATTTCAAAATAGCAACATGAAGCTTTCCTCGGGAGTTTTGTATTAGGTATGAGATATAGGACAAGTGTTCCGGAAATAAACAGACAACATCCAGGACGATAGACCTGAGTATTACGCCATGACGCTGTCTCCTCCGGGAGACTCAGTCTCTCTGCGAATAAGATCAAATACGTTCCTGGCTCTATTTTTGGACAATCTGCTTCTGATTGGCACTTCTTGCCTCTAATAACCGTGCCAATCCTCCTCTCTAAGCGCCCGGCCCGAGTTGAGAGCAGGGCGGCTACAGCTTCATCAGGTCCTCCAGCGACCCAATGATATCTTCGAAATCCCATCTTCAACATCATCCTGCAGAATCTGGTAGTCCACCTCAGTCCAATCAAGGCGATTTGGACCGGCAAAATGCAACAGTCTCTGTAGCAGCTATGGAGCTCGGAGATTTGCTTGCGTCGTGCGTCGAGGATGGAGGAGATCACCACAATGCTTCATTGGTGTAGTAGGCAGGTACCTGAAGCATGGGCTCTAGATCCAACCCTAGTAAGGTAGCTTTTCAACTTCTGCAGAGCTTCTTGCGTTCTGGTCTTCTTTTTCTTTCTTGCATCCGTCTGGTTTGTTCTTGCAGGGTACTTGGCCTTCTATTTGTTTGCTTTGGAGTACTTTTCTCTTTCATATCTGCGGGATCTCTTCATTGTTTCCGTGGGATGAGAACAATAGCGGATTCATTGCTGCGTTGTTTCATTCAATGGTTATAGTCTCTCTTTATTCACTGGTTTCTTGCATATGCATTGTTCAGTCTCTTAAACCACGAGAATTTTTTGCCTGAATCCATCCAGATGACCTATCTGCTCTTCCTGCTCTTCCTCTGAACACTCTTGCGGATATCGTCCTATAACGTGCTAGCTTACTATTAAGTCTTGACCTGGTATGTCCTAGGGCTACAGAAACGTATACCGAAACAGGGTCGCTCAAGTCTAACACGCTTCCTTACAGTCAAGAGACAAGATGCCTGCTCGACTGAAAAGGCCAGAAATGCAGCTGCAGATTCCCCAAGTTCCAAATTTTCCACTATCGTCCCCAATCACTGAGGAGATCTCCAGCCCAGCTGCATCCTCTGATGAAGACATAGTGATGGAACGGAGTCGTCCCTTCGACTACCTGTCCAAAATGTCGGACAAGAACCCGTTGCTTAAGGTAGAATCCGCAGGCGTGCGGCGAGACGGCTTGGTTGAACGCGAGATCGGTGTGTTTGATACTGCGCGGAGAGCGGCGCAAGGGGATAAACCCAAGGGGTTGAATTTGATCACCGATCTTCCGATTGGAGTGCCCAAGATACAAACTGGGGCGGCAGGTCCTGCGTTTGTGAATCTGAATGATCTGAAGGTGTTGTCAAAGGTTCGTGAGAGGGAACGGGCCTCGCAGAAGATCAAAGGCATCTTGAAGAATGGGACGGCTCAAGGCTTCCAGCGCCTGCCTGACGAGGCTTCCGAGCCGGGGAGAAGGCGGTTGTCCTGGCTCATGTCGGAAAATACGACGTCGCCGAAGAAGAAGAAGAAGTATAAAGACGAGCTGTCGCCTTCTGATCGGCCCATCATGATCGGGTATACAGTACCATTTGAGGAGTCGTCGTCGCAGACTCAAGTTGATGGAACAAAGGGACTGGATAGCGCTGGAAGCCAGCGTACACCTATGACGCCTTCGATTGTTGTAACTCCCGCGAAAGACGAGGGTTTCTGGCAAGGACTCGCCCCGGAATTTCACCGTCCCAGAGCCACCTCCAGTATCTATTCTCAGCGCACATCATTCATCGGAAATGGCAAGCTTGAGATTCCACCAGTCCCAGCCATACCGACGTCCCATTTCGTGGAGAAGGGGAGTCAGCCCGACGTGTCTCGGAGGGAGTCTGTCCTGTCAACAAGGAAGCAACGCTCATTCTCAACTGGGACCGTGTTTGAGGAAGATGACGGTCCGCGACAGGGACTTCGTGCTCGTTCTTTCTCTACGGAAAGCTCGAAAAGAGGGCTGGATCGACTGAGTGTGATGACGGATACCAATCGACACCAATCCCAGGGCTGGTGGACTTATCTCCTGTCGCCTATGCTGGGACGGTCGAGCACGATAGCCAGTAGATCGACCCCCACCAGAACGGAGCGGCCTCCCATGCCGACGCTCCTCACGAACTCGACGGTGTCAAGCGATGAGTGGTGGGAGAAGGAAGTCTCGTACTTCTCCCCAGATACACCTGAGACGACCGTTGCCACTAGAGGCGAAGTAACGAATTGGCATGAGGATGATGCTAACCCCTTCGCGGATTTCAACTCCATGCATGTCAATACCACCGATGAGGAGAAAACTACTGAGATGATGTTCCAGGGTGGGACGATCCAGGGCGCAGCCGCTGAATACTACCAGGCATGTGCCCATGAGTTGTTCAGCGGAAGGCCGTACTTCGAATGCATCAACCATGTTTGTTCTATCACGCCGAAGGATAGGATCCCGGTTCTTCTTGCCGGTTCTATTGCTGAACCACAGAATAACGAGAAGAATCTCCTTATTGACGTGGATGACGATGTGTCTCACTTAGGTTCAGTGAATCCTTTTGAGAGCGCCTCGCAATCTGGCGCTCGTTCGATATCGGGGACCACCGCTGTGGATGACCAACCCGCATCTCCTGTGATTTCAAACACGGGAAAGAAGTGCCTGGAGGAGGCCACACCGGAACAACCAAGAGGTAACTCTCCTGAGCCAGAACCCCTCGAGAGAGAGCCTCCCGACTATGCAGCGGATCGACCGGAGAAACAAGCCTCCCACCTCTTCTTCCAACCAACGAACACTATCACTCCTGCGGCAACAAACATTAACATCCAACAACCTGAATATCTACCACCGGGGCCTGGAGCTCCACAGGAGAGGATCATCCCTCAATATATTGTTGTGCCGCCTCCGAATAATGGCGCAGGCGGGCACCCCCAACCACAAACCCCGGATGCCACGTCTCCTGGTCTACAGCAAGCAACAGTGAGGAGTGGATCAATTCCATTGACTGAGATGGCTTCTGAACCAGCTCCGACCTATATCGCCCGTCGCAGCGCGTCTCCTACGCTGCCGCCTCGTATAGACCCTGTTCCTGTCACTCGAGAGCAGATGACGCACCCTTGGTTCGAAAGGGAGAGGATCGAAACCCGACGACGAAGACTGGAAAAGGAGGACGCTATTGGTAGGAAAGCCGGTGGACTCTGGCGAGGCAGAGGCTGTTTCAGCAACAAAGGCTGCTTCGGAAGGCCGGGAAGAGAAGGGCGCCTGAGACGTCGGTGGTATATGGCTATCACGACGTTTTTTGTCCTGATTGTGGTAGTTGCCGTTGTTCTTGCAATCATGCTGACCAGGAAAGGGGATGGGACACCTGTTCAGTCGCAGTGGCTCAATTTGACCGGCTATCCACCGATGCCGACTGGCATTGCGACAATCGCAGGCTCAGAGCCACAGGCCCAAAATTCAGGATGCATCACTCCATCCACACTCTGGAGCTGCGCTCTGCCGCCGGAGAAGCAGTCAGACAACAAGCCGTACGCGCCGAATCAGCCCAGCTTCCGAGTCGAGATACGATTCCGTAATGGGACCTATGCGAACAGCACAACAGTTGCCAACACTTCAAGCCGCAGGACCAGAGATACAAGTGGATCATTCAACCCATCGCCATCGCCCCCGAGTATCAGAGACCAGACCTTTCTGGGTAATACGACCGACCAAAACGCCATCCCCTACGCAGGCGAAGAGACCCCATTCTTCATCACCATCCTCTCGACCATCACCCACTCTTCATCCCGACTGTCCCGTCGATCCAACAGCTCCTTCCCAGACATCGAGTCCCTCATCCCATCTCCCGATCTCAACTCCGACGGCACAGCCGCAGCTGCTACCCTGTATCCACTCCCTGAATCCCAGCCGGTGCGCCTCTACAACCGGGGCCTGGACACAGAGCACTACGGCTTCTACACGTATTTTGACCGCTCCATATTCCTCGAGAGCCTTGCTCCTCTCAACAGCAGCACAACAGACAACTCTGCCGCAGACGCCAACGGTGGCGCCAGCGAGACTAACGCCCGCGTCCGTTGCACATGGGCACAGACTCGTTTCCTCGTGCAGATCTGGACGCAGCCGACTCGCGCGCGTAAGACACTCCTCCGCAGTAATCCTAGCGCCAGCGCCAGCGTTAGTCCTACACCCACACCATCTTCCCTGTCGTCCACCTCCCCGGCCTCAGGGACGAACAGCCCAACCGCATCCTCCTCCGCCACGGACTTCGTCCGGCCGGGGTCGTTCCCGTACCCAGTGACCATTACGGTGGACCGACACGGTGGTGTTGCGAAGGAGAAAATGGTGTACTGCTACGCGATGGAGGAGAACCAACATGTCAACTCGACAGAGAAGAAACTGCAGGTTGAGGACAGGGCATTTGGCGGGAAACTGGTCAACCCGGCGCCCGGTATATTCAATCTCACGTCCTCGTCGGAGGCTTCGACGCAGGATGGAGTTGATGGAGGGACCGGGGGTTGTTCGTGCCAGTGGGTGAACTGGATTTCTACGTCGTGACATTCGAGCGGCATTCTAGAGAAAAGCCATTGTTATTGACATCATGTATGTGTCTTGCAGTCTTGTTAGAGCCATGTTTGTTCATGTAGAGAAAAGCTGGACTTTGATCTTGAATTAATGATTAATTTGAACTGCTTTATATAGATCCCTGACACCAAGTATGATTGTCCAACAGATTGGCCCTCAAGCTAAACTAACGCCTCATCTTAGTAACATCGTCTCTAATCTCTATCCACCGACATCGCCCAATTACGGTCAAGAACATTACGATTCCACTCAAACGAAAACCATCAGGCCAACGGCAAGACCACCCAGGGCAGCGAGGCCAGGCACCACGAGGGTGGAGCCAGGGCTGGTATGACGGGACGTGGTGGCTTTGGTCTCTTCGCCGTCGTCATTGTTGCTGCCGCTCTTGCTGCCGCTGCCGCTGCTACTGCCACTACCACTGCCACTGCCACTACCACTACCACTGCTGTGGCCGCCACTGCTGCTGCTGCTGCTGCCAGTGCTGCTCGACTCAGTGGGACTAACGAGACCAACGTAGTCGCCAGTACCGGTAGCTTTGGGAAGCGTGGCAGTCGTGATGGCGGCAGCGGAGGAACTAGCAGCGTCGGAGGAGGATGCGGCGTCGCTGGGCTTGATGACAGGGACGCTTGTCGTCTCGGTGGGAGCGGCATCCGCGCTAGAGAGGACGGTGGGGTCGCTCCCGGTTGTTGCGGTGGTGCTGGTCTCGGTGGCGGAGGTGTCTTTATCGATGACGGGGGTGGCCACAGTGGCGGTTTCGGTTGGGATAGTGGTCACTTCGCTGCTGGTGGATGTCTGGTGTGCTCTTCTGTATAGGCCTGCGTTGGCGGTGCTGGCGGCGAGGGCCAGACCGGCGATGATCTGAACGGAGAAACGCATTGTGATTGTGTTGTGGAGAATAGATGTAGAGATAGTCTGGGAGATAAAGTACAGGTGCTAGAATAATCTGAGGCAAGGTGTAAGCCGCGAAGTTCAAGGAAACCAGTTGAGGGTCACGGATAGTAGATAATTGATAGACTCGATAACAGACGTTGAACGATGTCGAGGGTAACTGGTGAATGGAGTCTCGGGGTTCTTATAGACCAACGAGGCCCCTCAATGCGGCTGCCATTGAGTGTATTCGATGATCAAGCGCATCCATGTCCGTCCTCGTTCAATCATAGTCCTGGAATAGGTTGATTGTCAAGAAGCGGAAGAAAGCATAGTACTGCATCTGGAAGAGTACGAGACTGAGGCAAACACATGATTTTCCATTTCCAGAAGCTGCCTAGCCGCGATCCCTTGTAAAACACTGCCTGCAGAAGTCTTTCCAGCTGCAGATGTTGATCGCCTCCTAGAGGAATGTTGTGGCACGTGATAGACGGCTTCCGGGCTTCATTCAGCCCTATCTTCCTCCTCGCCGAAAACGAAAACCAGTGTTGCCAACAAACAAACGAACGGATTCAGATCACCCATAACAACTCCTTGCATAAGCCTTTGTTTCCGGTATAACTTATCGAAAGAAGCACTCCCAGCCAGAAAGGGCCGGAATATGCCCTGGACTGCGTCTTCGACTTCTCCGCAATCAGCTCCTATCACTGAGTGAGCATATACGCATCTCCTTCCAAGAAACTGATCGCGATTCAAGGATTTCATGCAAACGACAGAGACAAAGAGGACAGGAGGCGATTGCACTGCAATGGTATGGTTAGAGCATAGCGACCAGCATAGACTGGCGGTATGAGACGGCGGCCTATTGCATGCTTATGCTAAATTGTATGACCGATGGATATTATGTTCCAGCGTAGACAAAAACAACTAAAGGTCTTCAAGTTGTCAATGGATATGTTGCTGCATGGCCTTGGAAACACAGCTCAGCTCTAGCCATTCATTATCAGAGGATTGGTTGAAGGCCAGCGGCCAGCCTTTCGTGGCCGAAGAGTTCCTGTTCACTCATAAACATGTTCTGGTGATATAGAATTGAGCATCTCCAATCAAGCTTGAGCATCTGGTATATAAGATGTGTAATTGAGCTGCGATAGACACCACTTATCTATCTGTTTATATACTCATTCTTCTCCATATCGATCTTAAAGAGGAGTGAGGAGTGTTGATGGAGAGAGTGGAGAGCTGGGAAGAGGCGCTAATCTGTATTAGGTAAGGCAGGCCTGATCCACTTCGACATTATCCTGGAGCCACTCGAGGCGATCATTATTATTGTGATTATTGTCTATGCTGGTTGCCTTCGACACTCGAACCCTCATTTCTGCAATCTCTACGCTGTGTATGTCATGAGAAAGGACCTGCACGGCCATGCCTCCGAGACCTGATCTTCTCAGTCCCTCCCTCCTCTCCCCTGGTGATTACGACGATGATGCCTCCTCCTTGCGATCCCTATCGGAGCAGGACTCTGACTCCGACGATGACGAATTTCTTCGCAAGCCTCGCACTACACTAGAGCTGGCCGAACATGATCGTGCAGTACTGGAGGAGGAGGAAGAGATGGAGAAGTTGTTGGTCAGGAGCGGGCCAACTCATGGTCTGCGACGGATCTTCAGCCCGAACGGCAGCAGCGTTAAGATCGGGAAATACGAGCGGAATCGGGATCGGAAGAGGAAGCGACAAGATGAGCGCAAACGGCGGCGTCGTAGTGCTGCAGGAGAAGATGGAGAGCTAATGTACGAGATGGAAGAGGGCTATCGAGAGTCCGAATCCTCGCTCCTGAGCGGCTCCTCGTCGGAGGTAGACCAGCGATTGGAGAAGCAGTATGCGGATATTCGGGTAAGGACAGACTCTTGATTCGTTTCTGGTCAAATCAAACTGCTAATCCCATGTAGCCGCGGCGAGTTTCTTGGACGAAATTAATACTGGTATTTGCGGCGGTCTTGGTTTTGTTCCTAATATTCCTGCTGGGTGCATACAAAGCCTCGAGTGGCTTCCGGGCATCACACTCTCCCCAGCGCCTACTTTCCAACGGCACCGCTCTCTTTGGTTCCACCACCATATTAGTTTCCCTCGATGGTTTCCGGGCCGACTTTCTCGACCGTGGTCTCACGCCGACACTTAATGCGCTAATCGCCGAAGGCGTTTCGCCACAGTATATGCTCCCCAGCTTTCCCAGCGTCACATTTCCGAACCACTTCACTCTGGTCACGGGCTTATATCCAGAAAGTCACGGGATCGTGAGCAACACTTTCTGGGATCCTATCCTAAAGGAGAATTTCCACTACACCGACCAGTCAATCAGCATGCAGCCTAAGTGGTGGAATGCCGAACCCTTGTGGATGACCGCCGAAAAGCACGGCCTTAAAACCGGGATTCATATGTGGCCTGGCTCCGAGGCGCACATTGGAGGCGTAGACCCAACATATTTGGACAAGTACAACGGGTCAGAAGAGCTCCCCCGAAAAGTCGATCGGATTCTGGAGCTGCTCGACTTGCCAGGTGCAGAAGAAGAGTCCTTGATTGTTCCCGAGCGACCGCAGTTCATCGCTGCGTATGTTCCCAATGTTGACGCAGATGGGCACAAGTTTGGCCCCAACAGTACTGAGATCCGAAATACAATATCACAGGTTGACAGCATGTTGGCTGAGCTGATGTCGGGCCTTCGAAGCCGTAATCTGACCGATATTGTCAATCTTGTTATTGTTTCTGACCATGGTATGGCCACAACCGCTACGGAACGATTGATACAACTGGATGATTTTATTGATCTTGGTCTKGTCGAGCGTATTGACGGATGGCCATTGCGCGGCATCCGGCCGAAAAAGCCTGAGGATCTTGAGACCTTGCAAGATCAGCTGGAAAACCTGACGCTACAATACCCACATGCGGTGGAAGTCTACACACGGGAGACAATGCCTGAGCGATATCACTTTTCCCGCAATGACCGTATTGCTCCACTTTGGGTGATCCCCAAGACGGGATGGGCGATCGTCGAGCGACCAGACTTTGATGCTCAAGAGGCTATCCGAACTGGACGAGTTTATCGTCCAAAGGGTGTTCATGGTTACGACCATGAGCATCCTCTGATGCGCGCAATCTTCATTGCTAGGGGCCCTGCGTTTCCTCATCCACCGAACAGTCGGCTGGAAGTTTTCCGTGAGCAAAGCCTCTTCTACAGCAGACATATCCGAGTATAAGCTAACATGGATGCAGAGAATATCAATGTGTATAATTTGGTTTGCGATTCTCTGGGGATTGATCCGCTCCCTAACAACGGAACGCTGCGCCTTCCTCTGCAGCCAGTGGGCCTTCATTCTGATCAAGATGCGCCGGTTGTCGACAAACCTGCTGACCCTCCGATCAGCAGCGCTACCGTGAGCCTAGTATCCTCGCAGACCATGACGCCGGCCTCCACTTCCTCCACTACATCACTTGTGTCGTCAACAGCTCTTGTTGAGCCAATTTCACCGTCTGAAAATGAGTCCAACTCGGAGCCGCAAAGCCAACCGGAAAGCGACGACGAACAGGGCCCTACTTGGTGGGGAACACTCTGGAGCAAAGTTGAGGAGGTCAAGAATTGGGCCATTGATATAATCGAGACCGTCAAGGACAATATCGTGTAAATGTCAAAGACGGGCGATGTTGTGAGAAGCGTTGATGTTCATTTACTGGAGCGTTCCATGTTGATAGAGCCGACTATTGTCGAAGTAATAATCTAGATACCCCTTTGCTTGTTAGATGAATGCATACCTCTCTATTCAATCCACCCTAGAAGCATGAGTGAATACTGGCCCATCATCATGGAGCAGTGGCCAAACCAAACCCATTTTGGGACCCCGGTCGCGAACGTTGCTCACTATAAATGTGGACCATCCGGATCAGCTGTGGACCTGCAACCGCTGCGGCGCATCTCGATCGTCGAATGGCTCCGCAGCAATGAGTCAGTCTCAGCTCAGTGCAACCCGATTTTTGCCCAACTCGATCTCCGACAAGGTCAACCTAGCCTCTTACTGATTAGAATGTAGTCATATGCGCGGCACAGTCAGTTAAAATGATGCCGCAGTTACACTGGCCTTTCTGCATGAGTCTTACGATTATGAGGCTCTTAGTGTGGGCCCAGCCTTGTTGATGCCTATTGTGCAGCTATGCAACATGCGCGCGGGCCTACAAGGCTGCCGGCATATAAAGGCGTGAGAAATGTATATAATGAGCGATGGAGGCTGTTGGTCTTCTCCCTCTTCATTGACCTTCTTATTGTCATCGTCATCGTCATCGCCTCCATGGCCTCATATTTGGACCACAACATCACCAACAATAGCAGAAATGGCACCACCATCGACACGGCTGTCCTGGACGCCTTTATACCGGGCTACTCTGTCCTCTCTCGCTTTCTGGTCTCGTACCTCCAGATCGACCTATCGTACTACCTGCCCTTCCTTGTGATTGCAGCCGCAGCTACCGCCTCCCTGCGCTACAGTATAAAGAGAATCGTCCGCCTGCTGGGGGAATACTTCACCTCGACGGCGGAGATCCGCCTCGACGACGAAATCTATAATTATCTCATGTTCTGGATGGCGCAACAGCCGTTCACGAAGCGGACGACGCATTTCGTCGCGGGGACGAAGATCAGCAGTGGGATGCGGTACTGGGACTCTGATAACGGCGAGGGGTCCGATGACGAGGACATCGGCGAGGACGACGACAACGGTAACGACAACAGCGACATGCTGGCCAACTTCGATCGGTACTGGCAAAAGGTCATCAGCAAGGACAAGTACCGCACGCTGCGGTTCACGCCCGCCGAAGGCACGCATTACTTCTGGTACAAGAGGCGGCCGCTGGCGTTCATTCGGGAGCGGGAGGAGAACAACGGCGGCTTGAGTCTGCGGTTTGTGCCGGAGCGGCTGTACCTGTCTTGTCTGGGGCGGGACCCGGCCATCCTCAAGGAGCTGCTGGCCGATGCGCAGCGGGCGTATGTGGCGCGCGACGGCAACCGGACGATTATCTACCGCGGGCAGAAGAGCGGGGTGGACGACTTCGACTGGGTGCGGTGCATGGCGCGGCCGCCGCGGCCGCTGTCGACCGTTGTGCTGGACGAGGCGCAGAAGCAGGCGTTCATCGACGATATCAAGGAATATCTACATCCGAGGACGAGGCGGTGGTATTCGAACCGCGGCATCCCGTACCGCCGGGGGTACCTGCTGCACGGCCCGCCGGGCACGGGCAAAACGAGTCTGTGTTTTGCGGCGAGCGGGCTGCTGGGCTTGACGCTGTACCTGCTCAGTCTGAACTCGAAGAGTCTCGATGAGGACAGTCTGATGTCGTTGTTCTCGCAGCTCCCGCGGCGCTGTATCGTGTTACTCGAGGACGTCGACAGCGCGGGGATCACGCAGAAGCGCGCCGAGGACGACTCCGCGACGTCGGCCGTCCTCGTGGAAAAGGTCAAGTCCAGCGCCGAGGAGAAGGAGCCCGAAACAACCACGAACAAGGGCGTTTCGCTCTCGGGTCTGCTCAATGTCATCGACGGAGTCGCCGCCAGCGAGGGCCGGATCCTCATCATGACGACCAACCATGCCGAGAAGCTGGATCCAGCTCTTCTCCGGCCAGGACGGGTCGATATGACTATTGCTTTCGGATACGCTGACCGCGATGCCATGCGCGAGCTCTTCTCCGCCATCTACAGCATTCTCGAGGGTGATGCACGGACATCCAAAATGAACTCCGCCAAAAAGCCGTCAGGACTAGGGGAGAGACATGTCGACGCTACAGTCACCCAGCGGAAGCGGCAGCGATTGTCGCGGGAAAAGATCGCAGAACTGGCATCTGAGTTTGCATCACGCATCCCAGAGGGTGAGTTCACCGCTGCTGAGATCCAGGGTCATCTACTCAACTATAAGAATGAGCCGGAGGCTGCCATTGACGCGGTCGAGGAGTGGGTGAGAAATGTTCGAGCTAAACGAAAGGAAAAGGAACAGTCTAAATGATGTAGACCCGTGATACCCACAACATTATGTGCCATGAAATGATACGTTGAAATGATACATTGAAATGATACGTTAAACAGATTGAAGCATCGCCATGCCATCTGTGAAAGTTCACCCGACTGACAAACACTTGCTAAAAACAATGAAAACAATGAAAAATGGCTAGCTAAATACACTTCAAGAATAAAATCCTAGGACTGATATCGTTGAGATCATCGTAAAAGATATCGCAGTAGAAAATATGTAATATATGTATAAATAGCCCACAGGGGCAGAAAATAATGCAAGAGTATCCACAAGACACCTGCCAACCCAATCAGTCAATCATAGAAGTCTAACCTGATCGCCATCAATGGCAAGGTTCGCAGCATATGTACACCGCTTGTTGGGCTCACAGAACCCATGGAAGAGCATCCTGTCACCACATCCGCAGACGGTACATCCACCAGGTGAGGTTAGTGCATAGTCGCCGGTTTGGAATAGCTTCTGGCCAGTTTTGACATACGGGCCTGTGATCGATTTCGATGTGGCCCATCGCACGTCGTACTTGGGGTCCGTATAACAGTGGGTGGAATAGAAAAGGAAGTACGTGTCACCGTGCAGTATCAGATTGGGAGCTTCGACCAAAGGTCCATCGGTATCGTCACGGTCAAGTATCTGAACGGCATCTCCAATTGGCGTGAAGCCATCGACTCCCACTTTCTGCAGAAGAATGGGGGTTGATACCAGAGGAGGAACGCCGTTGTTGCAGTCTCCCCCATTGCCGATGCTATTGCCATCTACTTTGAAGACAACGTAGCGGCTACCATCCTTGTCGAGGAATCCCGCCGGGTCGATCGAGCCTCCCTTATCCAGCCGACATGATAGTGGCGTCTCGTTCGGCAGATATGGTCCCCTGGGGTCTTTGTCTTGAGAGACAGCGACGCCCACGCAATGATGCCTCACCCTCTCTTTGGCCTCGCCTGAATAGTACATAACATAATAGCCATCATCCTGGGAGTAAATCAGCAGATGTTGAGTAGAAATATACTAGAGAACATACTCGTCTAATAACATCTGGAGCCCAATGATCTATGTCAGTCTCCCACCCTGCAAGCGTCGGCAATGCCTCTATGTCGAGAAGAGTCCATGTGTTGAAATCTTCGGATCTAGCCACCTGGACGCGCTTGCCATTGCCGTTTGTGCTAAAGGCATACCATGCCCCATCTACATCCTGTACAAAACTAGGGTCTGGAAAGTCTGAATTGACTGCCATCCACGGCCCTCCGGCTTGCTTCTCAACGGGAGAAGCGAAGACAGCTGTCATGGTAAGGCCCAGGGCCCAGAATGTTGATCGAGTAACCCACATGCTTGCAGAATGGGTGGACAAAAAGAAAGAACGAGGTCGTCGAGCTTAATTGCTATATCAGCGAACCTCAGACTCACAGTGTGGCGATTGCTCTTGGGATCAACGCAAGAAATAATTCTACATTACGTTTGTAGAGCTCGGGATGCGTCATTGATTTATACTCAAATGCTCTCGGTGTTGCCGAGAAAGGGAGGACCGGCATTCCCAGACTGAATTGTCCCTCGACAGCTATCACAATTCAATTTTTCTTCGACGAAATCAGCAGTCATGCGATATCGTCCCACGACAAGTATGGGGCAAGTGGATTCGAGCATTGAGATAGCGGCTAGGTCTGCTGGCCTAGACATTGGGCGCATTATGCAGCATATTAGGCAAGGATCGCTGTAGAAACAACATTTGGTATCATCGGACATTTACTGGCTCACAACATAAACAACAATAGTCAGCAATAGTGAGCCGTGTTTGGCCCATCGTTTGGCTGAAGTGGCGCATTTTTGTTGTTCTGAGCAATGGCCGAGATACTAATGTCCATACGACTGTAACACTTGGTCACTGGGTCCTCGTAGATCTTAGAGAGCCAAGGAATTTCAATAAGCCTGTAATCTGTATGGCGGAGCAAGCAGACGAGATGACCCAGGGAAGCAAATGCGACAGTCCAAATCCACTATCATCTGAAGACTCAAGAGTATCCGAAAACGGCAGTCGAAGCATGGAGTGGGTGGAGAAGTACCGATGCCGAGCTGCCGATCATTTTGTGGGGACTGGCATCTATCAAGTCTTGACGATTCAGAAGCAGGAATATGACCCTTCATTATGGCACGCGGATAATATGCTCCGACACTGTGACCTGTGGATGGTACATAGAGAGCCCATTACTCGATCAGGGGAGTGACGCAAGGGCTATGCCGACCGCCCATACCCGAGGAATGCGGTTCCCTCGGACTATTGGTGATGAGGTCGAGGCCTCCATGGTGGACCTGGTGAAATAATGGTGAACGAATAGTTACTGCAAGGAGTAACATGCAAGAAGCTCCCATGTTAGTTCGAACGCACTTACAATAGGGTCGTTCCAAAGAACTTCTCCATGCTTCTGCGCTTTTTGCCTCAAGTACTAGTGCGCAGTGGACACCAGGCCCTTGCTTGTCTCCTGACGGTCGGTATGATTCAAGCCAATCACAATAATCGAGACATCCAAATGCCATGCATGATCTGGTGTCAGACGCTTTCGGAAGTCAGAGAAGTCGAACAAATAAACAGTGATGTGTTTGTCCAATATGAACACAAACGCCGA